ATATGAGCTGAACATTTACCTGAGGTAAATACACTCCTTGGAGAGAACAATCATGGGAGAAAGAAGGGCTGCTTATGCACAGGGAGACAGCTCAGGGGCCAGGAATGCGTGGAGGGATGGACACAGAGAAGAGTTAACTATCGGGAGGAAGTGGGAGGGGAGCTGTTGTATTGGGGTAAATTGCAGTCAATGTCATGAGACAGAGTATATGTGAACTGCTGTATGGAAAGTTAATTTGCTCTGTAAACTTTCATCCAAATCACAATTAAAAAAACAAAATATTGTTTAAATGTAATTAACAAGTTTCTTGAAACCCTTGTCAAATTCTCTTTCCTTGGCCTGATTATCAATCCCATCCCCAAATGCATACCCTGATCTTAACACCTAAAAATCATTTGATTAATGTTTTTTTTTCAAATGGGAAAAAGATGGAAATAAATTTTGACTGTTTATAAGACATACCACGAGCACATTTCTCAAAAAGATACTCTTCACATTACTACAATAAATAGAACATCATTCCTATAAACAAGAAAAGGTCAAAAATTGGCCAATTGGTGTTTAATGATGCTGTTTAAAAAAACAGAGGGACTTGCCCATTACAGCACTGTCAACTTAAGTAATGTAGTTACGAATGTATCTTTACATTTCTACCCTAAAAGGTTATAAGAGGGATCAGAAATGGTAAATTCTGTCTACTCCCCAAAAAAGCTGAGGGGCCCAGTTTTACTTGGATAAATAAATTTCACAAACTGAATGCTAATATCAATGTGGTAGCAACTAAATGCTCACTAATATTCTTCACTCAAAAATAATGAATCAGCACAAAAACTCTGTGAGTGGTATCTGCTGTTGTTATGTACCGTCGAGTCGGACCTGACTCATAGTGACCCCTCCTTGGGTTTCCGAGGCAGTATCACTATGGAAATAGATTGCCCCATCTTCCTTCCAAGGAGTAGCTGGTGGGTTTGAACCACCAGCCTTCTGGTTAGCAGTCAAGTACCTTAGGCACGAGGTATCTAGACAGACAAAAATTTCTGCCTCATTGCTTTTTCTGAGAACCAGAAATCAGATCTTACCTGGACAAAAGAGTAACCCTCAATTTTAGAACATTTATTCTGAGCCCCTGAATGGCCCAAATGGTTTTAGCCCTTGGCTGGTAAACAAACGAAAGGCCTAGCCAATCGACCTCCAAAATATCAGCCACTGAAAACTGCACAGAGCACAGCTCTACTCTGACACACGTGAGGTCACCCTGAGTCAGAAATGACTGAACAGCTACTGACTTTGTTTTGATTTGGTTTATTTATTTTAGTTTACTGCTACTTTTCAAAAGAACAAACTAGTTTTCCTGAGTTAGCTGCTGTTACTACTTTCTCTTCAAAACTGATTACTCACTGAAAAATAAAATGCATAAAATCCAGTTTATAGACATTTCTTAGACATACATGTAGTATCAATGAAGATCTCTGATAGGACAAAGAATATTACTAATCTTAAGTAAGACATAATGACAGTCTTTTGCAGACCACATTCAATCTACATATTTAAACCTATGAAGCATTTACACCTTCCTGAGCACCTGAGCCACAGTGATACCACCTCAGAAGCCCTAGTATGGGTCGCTGTGAGTCAGATCCAACTGGATGGCAGTGAGTTTAGTTTTTGGTTTGAGCATCTGAATGGCCAACTAAGCAGTAATTAGTCAAAAAAAAAAAAAAAAGGATTTCCAGTGTTAAGGAAGATAAACCTCATCTACTGCGAAAGCAAAATTTCTCAGGAGGCTGCAGAGTGATCTGGAGAAACAGAAAAACAAATGTGCTACTCTGTGAAAACAAAAGATCCTTCACGCTTTAACTGATACAAGTGGGTACTTGACACCTGGCAAAATTGAGTTAACTATCTTTAAATATCCTTTCTCGAAAAATCTTAGTTCCATCTTAGTTATCTAGTGCTGCTATAACAGAAATACCAGAAGTAGGTGGCTTTAACATACAAAAATTTATTTTCTCACAGTGTAGGAGGTTAGAAGGCCAAATTCAGGGTGCCAGCTCTAGAGAAAGGCTTTCTCTCTCTGTTGACTCTTGAGGAAGATCTTCATCTCTTCATCTTCTGCTTCCTGGTTCCTGGAAATCTCTGTGTGTAGCTTGGCATCTATCTTACCCCACCTGTCTTGTTAACATAACAAAGACAATTCATTCCCTAATGGAATTCTAACCATATGCATAGAGGTTTGGATTTACAACACATATTTTGGGGGGACATTTCAATACCAAACACTATTTATCAAGTAAATTTTTTTCAAATGAAATCCTGAATATGAATAACGTTAACAATTACCTGATTTCCACACACTGATCTTGGACAGCAGCCAAAAGTTTTCCGTTGCTTTCATGGAAGAAAAAGGAGAAATGAAAATTCTATTAGAATATTTATATCAGTCTTCAGTTCAAATAGACTAGTTTTAAAAGTTAAAATTATCTTTTAATTTTCTCATATGCTTTAATTACTCATCTTTTGGCCTTACACTTAAAAGAATATATAGTACAAAAGCATGAAAATGATAAAATACAGCTTGAATTACATGTGTATACAATACTAATCTGGGGATCTTCAAGCTTATGGCTGGCATCCTGAGGGGCTACAGAGAAACCCCAAATTTGTGGCCAACAGATTGGAAGTGAGGGTTCTATGAGGACCCTCCAGTTTGTGGCTGGCACTCAGAAGACCTGGCAGTCTGGAAAACTGTGCCCTTTAACCTATGAAATTCGATTTAGCTCTGGTGGTTAGGGTCAGAGAAATCTGCATATAATCATATGATCAGACTGGTTTTTACAAACATATACAATAAAATTAAGGCTGAAAGCTTTAAGAATCCAAAAATTAATGTCCATGATGAAATTTACCAGGTAGAGAAACATTATATGAATTGTATACATGCTTACCTTGCAAGTGCCAAATGCCAGTTTATCTGTTTATTAACCAAGCGAACCAATCCATCAGGGAGCAAAAAAGGTACAGGGCTAAAAACACAACACATTAGCTAGCTTAAAATCTCATTATCAAAAACACATATAAGTACATAAATAATAGAAATAGCATTTATATCTATATAAAGGATTTTTTTTCCAAAAAAGAATATAAAATCAGAATAGTGACAAATTCAAAACTAAAAGTTACCAATATATGATATCTGAAACGTGACCACATACATTTCTCTATTTCCAGAAGGCATAGTGGTGGGTTAAAAAATATAAATTGCATGTCTTTTCCCAGAAAAAGACAGCCATGATATGAGTAATATGGCAGAGTGAGCTTATACCAAACCATTCCTGCTATGAACACCTTGAAATTCTGGTTCAATTACAAATTCTAATATATGGCCAAGTTCATAAAAAAAAAAAAAAAGGTAATCTTTAAGTGTTGGAAATGAAAACGAAATTGAACACCAGAGTAGAACAAAAGGAAAAAAGGGACAAAAACAAACATAGGTCTTACCACATGGGGATAGGAAATGAGCCTTGGGCCACAAAGAACAGAAGTTGGAAATAAAACTCCAGCAAAAGCCAGGGCTCTCAAATTATTGCACCATCAGTGAAAGAAGATGAGAGAAATTTCACAATGGACACAGAGAGACTTTAAGGAACCTCATTCTGGTCTATGGGGGACAGAAATGAAATCTATGAAAAATCAAAACTCCAAGCCTGCAATATATGCAAGATTGGACTGAACTGCATTTTACCCATGTAGAAGAATCTTCAAGCTCACAATAAAACCATTTACAAAAGGAAAAATCCATCATAAATGAGAGACAATAGATTGAGGACTAACACATGAGAAGATGGAAAAGAAGAATAAATAAAACTTAATTTCCTAGAAGAAGAAAACCAGGTAGAAAAAAAGCACATATATTCAGTGTGTTTATGCTCACTTTTTAAAATACAAATAATCAAGAGAATATCACAGAGAAAAGAAAACTAAAGGCCAATATCCCTTTATGAATACAGATGCAAAAATCTTCAACAAAATACTGTTGTTGTTGTTGTTGTTGTTGTTGTTATGTGCCGTTTAGTCAGACACAACTCATAGTGACCCCTACATGGGTTTCCAAGGCATATCACTAAAGAAGTAGACTGTCAAACCTTCCTTCCAAGTAGTGGCTGGTGTGTTTGAACTGCCAGCCTTCTGGTTAGCAGTCAAGTACTTTAGGCACTATGCCACCAGAGCTCCTAAAATACAAAATACCAGCAAACAGAATGCACCAGCACATTAAAAGGGTCATACTATATAACTATATAACCAATAGGGATTTATTACAGGAATACAGGAATGGTTCAATATTAGAAAACAAGTCAATGTAATATACTGTATCAATAGAACAAATCAAAAGAATCGTATTGCTACAGATGCAGAAAAGGCATTTATTAAAATCCAATACCCCTTCTTGGGGAAATCCTCAAGAAGACTGGAATATAAGAGAAATTTCTCACTATGATTCAGGCCATATATGAGAGGCCAATAGCCAACACTGTATTTGTGGAGAAAGATTGAGAGCTTTCCCCTTGAAATCAGGGACAAGACAAGTGTGCCCACTCTCATCACTTCTATTCAATACTGTTTTAGAAGTCCTAGCAAGAGAAATAAAACAAGAAAAGGAAATAAAAGGTGTCCAGATTAGAAAATGTTGAAATGACAAAATAAAAGAGGTGAACAGAAGATTTCAAAGAGCAGCTTAAGAAGACAAAGTCAATTATTATAATGAAATGTGCAAAGACCTGGAGTTGGAAAACTAAAAGGGAAGAACACACTCGGCATTTCTCAAACTGAAATAACTGAAGAAAAAGTCAAGCTTCAAGTTGCAATACTGAAAGAGTCTATGGGCAAAATACTGAATGATGCAGGAAACATTAAAAGAAGATGGAAGGAATACACAGTCACTGTACCAAAAAGAACTGGTCGATATTCATCCATTTCAGGAGGTGGCATATGATCAAGAACCAACAGTACTGAAGGAAGAAGTCAAAGCCGCACTGCAGGAATTGAAGAACAAGGCTCCAGGAATTGATGGAACACCCATTGAGATGTTTGAACAAATGGATGCTGTGCTAGAGGCATTCACTCATCTATGCCAAGAAATCTGGAACACAGCTACCTAGTCAACTGACTGGATGAGATCCATATTTGTACCCATTCCAAAGAAAAGTGATCCTACAGAATGTGGAAATTATCAAACAATATCATTAATATCACACACAAGTAAAATCTTGCTGAAGATAATTCAAAAACAGTTGCAGCGGTATATTGACAGAGAACTTCCAGAAATGCAAGCTAGATTTGGAAGAGGATGTGAAATGAGGAATATCACTGCTGATGTCAGATGGATCTGGCTGAAAGCAAAGAATACCAGAAAGATGTTTCCTTGTCTTTTATTCACTATGCAAAGGCATTTGATTGTGTGGATCATAACAAATTATGGATAACACTGAGAAGAACTAGAACTCCAGAACATTTAACTGTGCTCATGAGGAACCTGTACATAGACCAGGAGGCTGTCATTCAAACAGAACAAGGAAATACTACATGGTTTAAAATCAGGAAGGGAGTGTGTCAGGGTTATATCCTTTCACCATACTTATTCAATCTGTATGCTGAGTAAATAATCCAAGAAGCTGGATTATATGAAGAAAAGCATGTCATCAGGATTGGAAGAAGATTTGTTAACAACCTTCGATATAGAGATGACACAACTTTGTCTGCTGTGAGGATGACTTGAAACACTTACTGATGAAGATTAAAGACTACAATCTGCAGTATGGATTACATCTCAACGTAAAGAAACCAAAAATCCACACAACTGGACCAATAAGCAGCATCGCGTTAAATGGAGAAAAGAGTAAAGTTGTCAAAGATTTTATACTACTTGGTTCCACAATCAACACCAATGGAAGCAGCAGTCAAGAAATCAAAAGATGTACTCCACTGGGTAAATCTCCTCCAAAAGACCTCTTTCAAGTGCTGAAGAGCAAAGATGTCTCTTTGAAGACTAAGGTGCACTTAACCCAAGCCATGGTATTTTCAATCGCCTCATATGCATGTGAAAGCTGGACAATGAATAAGGAAGACTGAAAAAGAGTTGATGCTTTTGAGCTGTGGTTTGGCAAAGAATACTGAAAGGACCAAAAGAACTAACAAATCTGTCCTGGAAAGAATACAGCTGTATTGCTCCTTGGAAGCAAGAATGGCCAGACTTCGTCTCAGCTACTTTGGTCATGTTGTCAGAAAAGACTATTCCTTGGGGTAGGATATCATGTTTGGTAAAGTGGAGGTTGACATCAACGAAAAAGGGGAAGGCCCTCAACAAGATGGATTGACACAGTGGCTGCAATGATGGTCTCAGGTATAGCAAGGATTGTGGGGCTGGCACAAGACTGGACAGTGTTTTATTCTGTTGTACACAGAGTCGCCATGAATCAAAGCTGACTCAATGGAACCTAACAACAACAACAACAATGGATTAAAAAAGAACAGGTAAAATTATCTCTATTTGTGGATAATATATAGATAATCCCAAAAAGTCCAAAAGAAGGCTTCTAGAGCTAATAGAGAAATGTAGCAAAATTGCAGGGTACAAGGGCAACATGAAAAATTAGGTAGGTTTCTATACACCAGCAATGATACACTGGAAAGGGAAATTAGGGAAACAATTATTTTTACACTAGCATCTAAGAGAATAAAATACTTAGGAATAACTTTAAATAAGGATGTAAAAAACATACATAATGAAAACTGTAAAACACTGCTGAAAGAGATTAAAGAAGACTTAAATAAGTGAAAAGATGCTCTGTTTATGGATTGGAAGACTTAATATTGTTAAGATGTCAATACCATCCAAAGCAATCTATAGATTCAAGGAAATCCCAATCAAAATTCCAACAGCCTTCTTTACTGAAATACAAAAACAAATCCTCAACTTTATATGGAAAGGCAAGAGGCCCTGAAGAGCTAAAGTAATGTTGACAGAGAAGAACAAAGTAGGAGGACTCAGAGTTCCTGATTTTAAAACACATTATCCAGCTACAAAGGAGCTCTGGTGACGTAGTGCTTAAGACATTTATTTGCCTGGTAACTAAAAGGCTGATGGTTCAAACCCACAGCCACTCCTTGGAAGGAAGATTGGGCAATCTACTTCCGTAAACATTTACCACCTCAGAAACCCAATGGGAGTCACTATGAGTCAGAATCAACTTGATGGTAGTGAGTTTGGTTTTTGTTTTTTTATCCAGCTACAGTAATCAAAACAGCCTAGTACTGGTGTAACAGCAGACACATAAATCAAAGGAATAGAATTGAAAGTCCAGAAATAAAATTACACATCTAGTAAACTGATTTTTCACAAGGGTGCTAAATCCATTCAATGAGAAAACAAGAGTCCTTCAATGAATAGTATTGGAAAAATTGGATTTCCACATGCTGAAAAATGGAACAGGATCCAGGCCTCACTCATACACAAAAACAAATTCAAAATGGACTAAGTATCTACATATATAAACTAAAACCATAAAATTCTTAGAAGAAAAACAGGAACAATGCTTTCAGTCCTAGATTTTAGCAATGGATTACAATAACAAAAGCATAAGCAGCAAAGAGACAAAATAAATAAATGAGACCTCATTCATTTAAATAAATAAATGAGACCTCATAAAAATGAAAAACTTTTGGTCATCAAAAGACTACCAAAGAAAGTGAAAAGAGAAGCTAACAACTAGGAGAGTATTTTTGAAAACCATATATCTGATAAGAATTATAACAGTAACAACCAAATACTTCATGGGATTTAGTTCTTTGGTTTAGAGATTTAGGGTTATGGTTTCATGGGACTTCTCAGTTAACTGGCCTAAAAATCTGTTTAGTGCCTCTGTTTTACATCCTACTTCATTGTGTAGTGCCTGGGGTCTTTAAAGCCTGCAAGTAACTATCCAAGGACAATAATAGGTCTCTCTTCACCTGAAGCAACCCAGAAGGAGAATCAAGAAGAGTAGGAAGAAATGGAATGTGTGGCTACTTGCCTCCATGAACTGACTCCTTCGCTATGACACCAGAAGTGGAAGGTGCCTGGTAACTACTAGTGAATACTTTGATCAAGAACTCTATAGAAGAATCTTTGATCAAAAGTAGGAAAATGCAGAAAAGAACTGCAAATTCTTATGGACTACAGATTTTATGGAGCCATAAAGGCTAGATGAATTCCTGAAACTACTGCCCCAAGATCATATTTAAACCTTAAACCAAAAATATTCCCTTAAGTCTTCTCAAAACCAAACAACAGTTTGGCTTAACTGGTAAAGAATGTCTGCCTTGAGTATTGTGCTCTTTTAAGATCTATCTGTATGGGATCAAGTTGATAATAGCTACTCAAAAGATTAGGTAGGAAACTTAGGAAAACAATGAATTTATGTTAAAGGAGGAGGAATATTCACTAAAGGAGAGCAAGAGTGTCCATACAGCTCAAAGACTATAATCAACTGAATTGTGCATGTAGAAACTGTTGAAATGGTGTGCAATGTGCTATGTATATTCTCGATAAAATTATTAAAAAAGAGAGATACTCATATAAATATTATAATAGAGATATTACACATGCACATGAATGATACCATCAGCACTGAGGGTAGACGGTTTCCTCTGGAAGAGAAGAGAAAAAGACTGAGAAGACAGAACTACAGCTGGAACATTTTGTGTCTAAACAGAGAGGCTACCTGAAGTAAATATGGCAAAATGTCAACATCTGCTTTAATTCAGGTGTTGTTGTTGTTCTTGTTATGTGCCCTCAACTTGACTCATAGTGACCCATCTGCTTTAATTTGGGCATTGTTATTGTTGTTGTTGATATGTGCCCTCAACCTGACTCATAGCGACCCAACTCATAGCGACCCCTCCTTGGGTTTCCGAGGCAGTATCACTACGGAAGTAGATTGCCCCATCTTCCTTCCGAGGAGTGGCTGGTGGGTTTGAACCGCCAGCCTTCTGATTAGCAGTCAAGTGCCTTAGGCACTATGCTATCAGAGCTCCCAATTCAGATGCAGAGATAAAGTCATATAGGGGTTTAATATATTATAAATTTCAATATGCTTATATTTCACAATTTAAAAAAAAAAATACTTTTAAAAAATAGGAACCTAAAGTAAATATTATACCAAAATCTTAGATTTAATTACCATAAATCAAAGTGCAAAATTGAACTACATCAATTTTAAAGTAACACATAACGAGAAAAACTAGATTTCACCTCATGATATAGTCACAATCTATATAATGATTAACATGGCCAATTCAATGAAATAAGTTTCTCAGGAAAAAGAGAGACTGAAAAATACCTACTGAATAAAGTCTGATCTTATGCCACTTATACATAGGATGAGTCCTTCTTCCACAGATATCACTAAAACGATTAATTCTCAGCAGCAAATTGGACATGTATTCTACCTACCCTAAGGGTGTGCAAGACTAGCCAGCTATAGCCACTATACTCAGTAAGCTCAGGAAAAGCAGCCTACCTCTTACACTCACCCTTTTCTTCTATCACCCTCCCTCCTCACTTACTTCTCTACCCTATCATATGCCACA